ATATAATTATATATATTTATATATATATATATATAATTATTTATATGTATATATTTAAGTTTTTCTTGTGTAAAGTTTTTGTTTTCTTTTTTTTTTAAAGCATTCGAGGGCAGGAAGTAGATGTTGAAAAATACATGTATCAAAAAATTAGAGTTAAAATATATAAACAGTACAAATATTAAATATATAAAAGGGGATTTATCCTTTCTTAGTTTTTGTTGTTTTTGTTTTCTTGTTGTTGCAATGAAGACTTTTGTTAATTGGAAATCAACGTTTACTTGAAAAACCAAACATGTTCTACACACAGACAGAGCCACTAAGTTCAAAACATTTGTTTATTTGCATTTATTTAGTGTAAACAAATCAATCAAAATGAAAATTTTATTTTCAGTTTAAAAAAATTAAACTAAATTTGTTTAAAACAATGTGATTGTACATATATGTGTATATGTTTGTATGTATGTATGTGTTTCAAGTATTTATGCTAATTTACAACAAATTATTGTTTTTGCTTCTTCTCCATGATTTTGTTTTCTTCTAATTATAACTATTGCAATAAAATAAAATAATTAAAAAACGTAAAATTAAAACAAATTTTTTTTGTAACACAATTCTCTCTCCTCTCTCTCTCTCTCTCTCTTTCTCTCTCATACTTGTTTAGCTAAGAACAGAGCAAAAATTCAAATGAAGTATTAAAAGTTTATATGTATATTTATTATAACTGCTTTTTAGCTATATATATTTTTTTTTAATTTTAACAATTTTCATTTATTTAAAATTTGACTTTTTTGTTTTTGTGTAAATTGATTATTTATTGTGATTGTAGTAGAAAATGTACCGTTAAAAAGTGTTCTAACTGCTGCGCTTAAAAGGAGATAGTAGCAGATAGAAGTTGAGTAGGAGGTGGAAGAAGGAAGAGGAAGAGACGAGCAGAGCGATTGAGTGTGAAAGCCTTAGAAAAAAGATAAGAAAAGTTTTCATATTTTTTGTTTTTTTTTTTTTTTTGTGTACATAGTATAAAAGTAGTAGTATCATATTTTGTTAGCTTAGCTTATGTTAGCTTCTTATTGAACGTTATGAATTTGAATATCTCTTTATAGAAGAGCGCGCTAATTTGCATGTGTGTGTGCGTGTGTGTGTGTGTGTGTGTGTGTGTATGTGAGTGTTTGACGCAAAGGGGCGGAAGAAAGTATGCGCATGTGTGCATGTGCGTATACATGTGAGTGCACATGCATAACATATGCTTGCATGCATGGGTTTCTGGAGCTTAATAAATTCATTAAATTTTAATTTTTGTTTTTTTTTTTTTCAAGTGTTGTTTAAAACCAATATATTTATTAAACGTACTGCGTTTGTAATTGTTTTCGCTTATTTTTCTTTTTTTTTTTTTGTATTCAATTTAAATTTATATATATCTATATATAATTTTTTTTTTGGGAATTGAAATGCAATAAACTTTTGTAAATTGTTTGCTTTGTTCAGGTATATATATATATACATATATATATATATATATGCTGATCTGCTTAGCTTTTAAACATTGTTTCATTTGTTAATGTATTTTTAACTATTTGGGAAATGTGTCTATGTCTGTGTGTGTGTGTGTTACAACTGCATATATAGCATATGTGATGCGTACATAATACACACACACTGTTATACTGTTATACTGCTCTACTGCTCCTGTTAGGTTGGCAAAAGGCATTCTCCTAAAACTGTTGCCTGCTTTCAGGCGCTGCAGTTAATAGAGCACGCTCTTGCTATCTCTCTCTAACTAATGTTCCCAGGCTACTCAGTTTTTATTCGTGATTCGTTTGTTACTCTTTATATATGTATAATATTATTGGATATTTGTTGCTGTTGTTGCCTATAAATTTAATTAAAATTTGTATGCATTTGGAGGCAACGATTTATATGATTTGTGTTTTATCAATATATGTATGTATATATACATATATATATATATATATTATGTTTGTTGCTCTCTCTCGCTCCCTTTCTCTCTCTCTCTCTCTCTCTCTCTCTCTTTCTTACTCCTCCACTTATCCATCTCTGTCTCTCAACTGCAACTGTTTCTTGTTTGTTTTTGGTTTTTATCAATTAACATGTCCGGCGGATCGCCATTACTTCAAACATATGTATATGTTTGTATATAATTTTCTTATGCATTATATATGTATGTATTTGTTTGTATGTATGTATAATTGTTTATAAAGTACTTCAAATTGCTATAAGTTTGCATTTTGTATTAGATTCATTTCAACTATCAAATGTTTTCACTTTATCATCAAATTTCAATTAATTTGCTAACTCGTCTTCTCCTTTTCGTCGTCGCTTCTCTTCTTTGCTCTGCTCTCAACAACAAATTATTATATTTTTGGTTTTATTTTTATCGTTTAACATTATATAACTTAAAAATAATGTACATAGGTACTTTTCTTCTTTCGCATCAGTATTAATAAATGTTTTTGGTTTTTTTGTTTGTTTTTTTTTTATGCTTTGTTAATAATTATAATAATATATTTGTAAAGAGAAGTTGCACTCGTTTATATATATATTTGATTTATTTATTTTTTCGCATTGTATTTTTATAAATTCATTTGACTTAATTACTTAAGGTGTAGAAAACAATAAATGTATATAAATATACAATAGGTAAAAACAAAAGTAGAAACAACAATTTAATTTAAAATTCGTATGCATAAGTATTACATTTTTTTTATAATAAATATATATAAATAGGCAATAGGTAAACGAAAAAAAAAATCTAGTAACAGCTAACAACAAAACCCAATTAAACTATGCCCACTGCTTCACATTTTTCTTCAGTTTGCTTTGTTTCATTCTTGATTTTTGTATTCACTTTATTTTAATAAATTTTTATTTTTGCTTTTAATTAACAAATAACTAAAATTCGATTAAGTATAAAAAAGAATCGACGCTGACGTCGACGCAGACGCAAATGTAAGGCTGCCGCGCAAAGGAGACGCCATTTGCAAACGCATTGTGTTGTTCTTGTTGTTTTTGTTTTTGGCTTCTGCGCACTTTGCATTTGCATTGCATAGTTAACAGGCGCAAGGGGCTCGCAATTAATTTCGTCTGCTTTGCATGCATCTTCTGTTGGCTGCTTTGCCGCTTGATTGTTTTTGTGTGTGTATGTAACTGAGAGCATATATATGTATATATACATATATAAATACAAAGAGAGGGTAAGAGTGACTTAAGGAGCGTGAGAGTATACAGCAAAGAGTGCATAAGTTCGTAAAGCTTAGCTTATGCGCATCTGTGTATGTGCGTGTGTGTGTGTGTGTATTTAATACCGTTTAATATCGGCAATTTGGTTTTGCGTTGCTTTTTTTTAGGCTGCTTGCTGCTTCTGCTGCTGCTGCACATTTGACATCCGCTGCGCTGCAGCCAATTCGTTTTAATCATATATTTTTTGTATATGTATGCATATACATATATACATATATTTATTTATATATCTATATATATATATGTATATATTCCGCTAATGACTACGATAAAGATGGCACGTATATAAAGACCACATACACAATCACCAGATGAGAGAGTGTGAGGCGACAATGGCGACAACAAATGTACTCATAAACTTTGAGTTTACTTTTTGAGTGTGTGTGTGTATGTATGTATGTGTGTATATGTGTTTTGAAGGTGTTTCAACAGTAATAGGTGAAGAGATATAGAGTGTGTGTGTGTGAGAGAGAGAGAGATGAAGAGAGAGAGAGAGAGAGAGAGAGAGAGAGACAGAGAGAGAAAGTATTAGCTATAGAGAGAGATTCAGTCGTTTTGTTTTTGTTTTTCAGGTTGTTTTATGTTGTGTGTTGTTCCTGTCGTTTCTTCGTGTTTCTGTAATAAAAGATTGTAGTAAAATATTGCTGTTGTTTGTTTTTGTTTTTGTCGTAGGAAGTAGTTAAGCGTTAGCTTCTTCTTGGTGTTTAGCTTTAAAGTCGCCCTCGGCGCCACACAACGAAAGTAGTATAATTTCTTAGCGTTTAGCGTTTTTCTTTTCTTTTTTTTTTTTTTTTTTTTTTTTTTTTTTTTTTTTTTTTTTTTTTTTT